TAGTCCCGTTACGTTTGGAGCTGGTTCTCCTAATAAACTGATACTTGGTCAAACAGGGAGAAAACATGTTTTGTTCGCATGATTTGTGAGATGCCTGACGATTTCTACCGCCTCAGAATCGGAGAGCATAGTAGAAAAATTAACAGGCCGCCGAAGAACGCAGATGAATATCAAGCATTACTGAAAGACTCGGCAATCGCCGCACACGCTCCAGACACGGGACACAAAACAGACTTAGAAAATGTTGAGGTTTTGAGGTGAGGACTACGGTCCACGTCATAGAGACTGATAGCCGAGGCAGTGGAAATCGCCAAGCATTCCAGTGTTAACAGAATAGAAGGCGTAGAACTGGCAAGCGTGTGGAGAACGAGCTAACACGTGTTGGTGTGCGATTATTATTATTACTCATCATCTGGACTCCAGTTAACCCTACCCACCTCCCCTCCCCCCAACGTTCACAAGGCCACGAAGATCAAGGAAAATCTACCAGTGTCACCTCAGGTGAATCATCAAGTAAAACATCCTGAAGTGGAAGATCAAGGAACAAAAAGCGATCGGAACTAATTCTAAACTCCTCCAACGCATCAATTCAAGGTTGTGGCAAGCACACTAGCCGTTAATTGACACTCAACACTGACCTAGTGTGAAGAAGACTTACTAATTGGTTCTCCGTCTGTCCTATAACCTGGCCAATTTGGTGACCTGTTCACTTGGCCTGATAATGCCTTTGTGTCAAAAGCGAAACGTTGCCCAAATAAAAACTACCGGTTGTTTACCAAGCTCCTCGGAAACGAAAGAGAGTACACGTCTTTTTGCCTAAGTTGCGGTTGTGTAGCTTGGTGCTTAATTTGAACATACGGTCGATGATAAGTTTGGCCCTTGCCTATCGAAAGAGCTGAAAAAAGAACGGAATTGTGAGGGGACTGTCAAACAGTTTTCAGAACAACGAACAGCTGCTTTTTTGAATGTGTTCGGGTACGGAACTTTGGTAAAGCCATTCCCAACGGACGAATAATTTACCAGATAGTGCGTGTCGTCTTCCTTCAACTAACATCTGATGAGCCCGAAAAGATCATTTCTGGCACGGTTGTACATTTGTTTATGTCAGCATATATTCCTCAGAGTGGCTTTTTCCATGATTTTTGAACGTTGCATTTCGGCCAGCCTGATTGTCTCTGGAAGACCCTCTCCTAACAACACACGTCTATA